CTGCAGGAACCGCACGTGGTTGAAGCACTCGGTCTGCAGAGGGGGAGGACAGGCGTTACAAGCCAGGGAGAGCCGCGGCAGCGCCCCCCCTCCCCAGCACCCACCCACCGGCTCTACCTTGTTGTTTTTGCCCTTCTCCAAGCAGTCCATCTGCTTCTCCGGGGAGGCTTCCCACTGGATCTGCAAGGGGAAGAGGGACTCGTGACCCTCCCTCACTGCGTGGTCCCCTCGTCACTGCAGGCTCCAGCCTCCGCCAGAGATGCTAAAATCCTCTCTTTTATTAAAAGAGGGGGCAGCTGCTCAGAGCACATGATACCACCCTGCCCAGGGTGACAGTGGTCCCACACCCCGACCTGTGGGCAGCAACCCCAGAGCACCCACAGGAGCCTGGAGCATTTTGGGGTGTCCTTCCCCGGGGGGAGCAAAGGGATGTGCTTCCCCTCCTGCCCCTCATCCTCGCCAGGGCGTTCCTACAGCAGGCAGCTCTGAGCTTGGGGATGTCTCCCACCGCTGTCCCCTCGCCTCATGGTGGGGGGGAAGGACCAGGTGTCCCCAGGGGAGCTGGGGACAGACCCTCCAGGCCTGAGACGGTGAGCGGGAGGATGGGCAGGGATAGGGCGGCCACAATTCGGGCAGGGGCTGGGCAGTGTGGGACAGGAAGGGACGACCAGCTGTCGTGGGGGAGAGGCCGGGCTCACCATGCGGTGGGAGCCGTCGGCCACGTCGCTGGAGTTGAGGGCGAAGATGGCTCCTCTGGCACCCACGTAGAGGATGCCCCGGTCGTCCTCCAGCAGCAGGGTGCTGTAGTTGAGGGTGCTCGCGCTGAAGCGCCGGACGCCCGAGAGCTCTGCAAAGGGAACAGAACGGGGGGATGAGGGGGACCCCAGGGCAGGCACAGCACAAGTCACCAGGGAAAGGAGAGAGGATGGAGCCGGGAAGGCACCTGCTGAGGTCATCAGGCAGAGTGTGCTGGGTGCCAGTGTTATGGCAGGAGGAAAGGAAGAGGGGATGCTTGGTAGGAGGCCAAAGGCACTAACAGGGTGCTCACAGGGAAAATTCCTCCCCACTAATTAAAACGGCAGCTCGGGAGTGGGAGCTGCAACCTCCATGTCCAGCACAGATCCCCTCCATGCTGTTTGGGGAACTGCTGGAGGAAGCGAAAACACACCGGCACCGACCCCGGCTCCAAACTAAACCCAGACAGTCCTAAAGTAGGGATGCAAAAAATCTGAACCAAAACTGCGGTGCAAAGGGAGAGCATCTGCAAGGGGTGGGCGCTCCCTGCCCACCAGGCCGGAGAAACCACCCAAGCTGGGGTGCTGAGAAGTGTGAGGTGGAACTCAGCCCTGGACAGAGGGACCCCAAGCCAGGCTCAGACTCTCCTGCTGCAGGAGGAGAAAGTCCTGTGCGATTTGGGAGCCAGAGGCAGCCAGGGAGGGAATAAACCCCCCAAGGGAAGCATCACCTGGGGAGAAAAGGTGCAAATTGCACCTTTTCATTGCACCCCAGCTGCAAATGAAACCCTCTTCCCACCACTGACTGCTGAGCTGGGCTTCACTAACAAGGTCAGCAAGGTCGTGCGGATGCCCAAGGCACGATGACATTACAGGGCTGGGTGACCCCACGGAGGCTGGAGGCCAAGAGCCCGGTGGCAATTAGAGAAAACCATGGAAGCAAGCTCCCTGCTGACTATTTGGGCCATGAGAGCCCAGCCCGGCTGTGACGCTCGGCTCAGGACACCGTCTGAGGGCTGCTGGGCAGGGCCAGGGGCTGGCTCCCTGCACCTCCTTGTCCCCCGCTGGCTTTTGAGGAGATGCCTTTGCCCTGCTCCATCCCTCCCAGCACACTGCCTCTGGGAACCCAACGCCAGACAGCCATATGGGCTCCAATTTCGGGAGCCCAGGGGACCGGAAGCCTCCCCGTAGCCACCCCCCATGCTGAGCCCCCCACTCCAGGGGGATGGCGAAGGCTGGACACAGTCCCGATGCACCAAACGCAGTGTCACCAAGATCCCAAACCTCACTGCCGCCACCAAGACCCGCACCCCCTTACCATCAAAGGCGACTGTTGTCCTGGGGGTGGCATCCAGGTCGGTGGCAGAACGCCGTG